TATTATCGCATTACTAGATCGATCAGTATGATGGAATAAAAATGGCTAGCCACGCATCGTGACATAAAAATATACTTCATTTCAATAACATTGTGTTGTAAATGTACATTGTAAAAGTGTAAATACGAACTAAAATCATACGAACTAAAATCTAAAAATCTAAAAAGAAGGTGCCAGAAGTACCAGGAACTCATGATCTAATCGTAACTTTTCTTCAGTTTCGGCGGTGGCGGCAGCGGCGGCTATTGCGACGACGCGCGGCAGCAGTAGCTATGTAGCTACGTTATATAGTACAAAATATAATATATATAAATATATCGGACGTCGTTTTTAGCGAATATAACATCCAAATAACTCTCATTAGATCACCTTAGGTGCGATAAAAAATGAATAATTTAATATGTATAGGTACCAATATTAAAATTCACGGAAATCACTGAGGGAATAAATTTGCCATATAAATAAATGCAAATAGAATGCAATAGGTAGATTAACTACTAGTATTGATTTACGATTATAGTATATAATCAATGTTACTAAGTACTACCTAGTTAGTAGTTACTACTAATGTGTGCGTAATTTGATTTAACTAGATGATTAAAGAACTTGGATAACTAGCTAACAAATGCATACACTTTTGTAATCGCTTATCATCTCTAGTTATTAGTAGTTTATAACAATATTATAAAATAATTGTATTATGCTGTAATAGATGTATTAGGTAATTTATTTAAATTGGAATTTAACTGCTCATGAATTACGATGAAAAACTATTTAGAGCGAAGAATGAAGACAATATTATGTTGACAAAAAAATTTGCAATTTTTACGAATTCCGTCCTGTTTGTAAAAGTAAGTACGGACATTTTTAAAAGTACCAACTAGATCCAATTGGTGACCAATTGAAACCACCTTCGAAGTTTAAAATCGAATCTTTCTAGTTGAAAAAATTTCTTCAGACGTTCAGACACAAAAAAATAAAATATATAATAGTACATAATATGAACATTATCCTATTGGATATAGTAGTATAGTATATTGAATAATATTATTAATATTATGTAATATATTACTATCTTAAAGTTAGATTCTTTTTTGGTTATTTTTAAAATAAATTATTTTTGTCTTTGGCCCAATCCACGACATTGCCACAAACAACAATGAAAATATTGTATTCAAGGTATTTCATAAAAATTAAACGCAGGTGCGTGATAATTTAAAAATTCGTAACGATCAAAATTAAAAAAAGCAGGTAAGTAGGTAACTGTGTGTGACTCTGCTGTACAGTATAGGTTGCAAATGGATGACTGTAATGGATGGTGTTAAATTTGAATTCAATGATATAATATTATTGTATACGAAAAAGATCTCGAGCAGAGACGGTTTGTCGGCCTAAAATATTTTATATTATGTTTATATTGTAATTATTAATACGGTATAGCCGGTTAAGTTGAATTATTATTTGTCTATTATCATATTAATTGTGTATAATAATATACTTTAGAAGTTCCAAGTACCCACAAATAATATTTAATAAATATAATACAAAACTAAATAATAAAAATTCTTCTTCTTTTAAATATCTAATTTCGTCCAAATTTTGAATATATATAACTATAAAAAAGTATATCTGCTATAAAGTAGGTTACAAGTGGGTCACTGTAATGTGTAATGGATGGTGTTAAATTTGAAGTCAATGATATAATATCATTGCATAAGAAAAATGATTCTGAGCGAAAACGGTCAGTCAGCCTATGATATTTCGAACTATATTTGATGATATTAAGGTGAATAAAGTAATTTTTATATAACCTATTTATGTGGAATCGTGTTTTAAATTTTCAATCCTTAGCTATAAAAGTTGAACATTTTATACATTTTTAACTACAAAATTATTATTAAATTTTAAATGTGATAAATGTTGTCAAAATTTGAACTATAAATATTTATAAAAAAATTTGTGCCTATGTATTTCTAATATTTTTCAACTGCTATTGTAACAATATATCAGGAGCCTTGCATTAAATTTCCACGTTTTTTTACCCAACAAATAAAATTTTATGGATATTTATAGAAAAAAAAATTAAAAATATTGAAAACTGACAATGTCCGTCAACAGCTCAAAAATAGTCAAATTATTTGGTAAATGGTATGGTGTATTAAATGCTTATATAAACATTCAGTTAAAATTTCACTACGGTCCTTTGTTTTTGAGTTGCACCAAAAACTAAAATCGGTTTTTTCAAAAACAGATTTTGCGTACAAATTCCCGTTTTTCCTTAATTTTTCTTTTGTTTTTCATCGCGCTTCTGAAAACTACTTGAAAATTTTTACTTTTGACCAGCCAAAGTACCAACTAGATTTACTTTCCTATCAGAAAAGAAACTGTTGAAAAAAATCTAAGAATATTTACTGTAATAAAAGGTTATGACAGACACAAAAATAAAAAAAAACACTCATCATTGTAAAACCAATACATTCATCGCTTCACTCAGAATCTAAAAGGTGGGCAAGTGGATGTCACTCTGCTGTACAGTAGGTTACAAGTGGGTCACTATAATAGTATAATATAATGGATGGTATTAAATTTGAATACAATGATATAATATCATTGTATAAGGAAAATGATTCTGAGCGGAGACGGTATGTCAGTCTAGGTATAAGACATATTATATACTTATCTATGGTATTAAAAAAAATTGACCTATAATAGGTAACTACCTACAAGGCTTGCATTTGAAAAAAATTTCGTTTTACGTTATTTACAATTAAAACGTTACACAAGTTTTGCGTTTATCGTTATTCAGAATTAAAACGTTATCCAAGTTTAGCGTTTATCGTTATTTAGAATAAAAACGTTATTTTACCCAGCATTTTCCAACAATCCAGTAAGTAATTTACTAGTTAATTTTTTTCAACATAATTACTAGAAAATTATAATTTATTATTTTATTAATATTTAATATTGGTATAAATGGTATTCTATATACCTAACACCTAGGTATTTTATATAATTGAGCTGGAAATTTTAACTGATAAAGTTAATAAGCCAAAGACAAAAATAATTAACTAGTTAAGTTAAAAAGTTAAAAAAAAATTAACTTTTTAACAAGTTAATGCCTACCTTTGCATTTTCGGTACTGGGTTAAAAAATTGTTCTACCCATAATTGCGTTATTTGTTTTAATATGTTGCTAATATAAATAAAACGGATGTTTTAACAACAGTATATACTATATACTTTAACACTCACAAGAGGATCGCAGTAGTCCAGACAACAGAGTAGACAAAGTACAGAGTGAATCCAAAATAAGTCTATACTCTATAGTCTATACTTCTACAACGCACATATCGGGGCATCATTAATTATTATTAATAATTATAATAATTATTGTTATACTAGGTAGGTATTTGCTAGTAGCAATTCAGTTTATAATTTATCAATAACTCCAACAAATGTGGTAGGTAATGTCCCGGATACGGAATATAATTTAATCAATTCTTGGATTTTTTTCCAAGACAAAAAATAAATATTATGAAATAAAATATATTTCTACGAAACCAATATACCTTACTTTTAAATAAGTGGATTGTAAATTTTCAAATAATTTCGTTTTGCGTTATTTTTCGTTTAATGATATTCTATAAATTACGTTTTGCTATATTTTTTTGTTTAATGATATATTATATATTTTGTTATTCGTTATACTTTGTTTTGAGGTATTTAATACTTTTTGATTATCGCTTTCCGTTATAATTACGTTTACAAATTTCAACCGTTATTTTTCAAATATAACGTTATTATAACGTTTGCAAGCACCTGTCTTAATACATTAATTTTTAAATCAAATTAATTAACTTGCCCGCTCTCACCTATTATATCTAATTATATAGGTATCTATCGGATATCAAATATGTAAATAAATGTTATATAATTAATAAACTCTATATTAAGCCTAATTGCCTAAATCTAATAGGTTTGGTTTTTTTTATAGAACATAGTCAATAAATTACATAATATAATATTATTAAGTCTTGGGCAAGAACTAAGAATTACTGATTTTAATTATAATATATTATTTTAAAGACAAAGGTGTTTTTTAATGTTATTATAAAATAGTGTTACCGTTTACATAATAAGTAGGTATAGGTCCAATTCTACGGAAACTTGTGAAATGTGGATAATTTGCTAGTACTATTTGCATATACTATTCAAATAAGGTTTACTGAATAGAGTAGAATATATATTATAGTAAGTATCGTAGCCAGGGGGGTGGCTAAGGGGGCTATAGCCCCTCCATTGAACTTGTTGCCCTTAGAATTTTATCAAGATTAATAAAAAAATAAAAAATGTAAATAAAAGAAATATTGTATTTGTATATTTAGCCTCCCCCCCACCATACAAAATTCCTGGCTATGCCACTGATTATAGTCATATAGTAGGTATATATATTAGTATATTACTATTATAGTTAGGTACTAATTAGTTAGTGTACATACCTACAATCTACATCTGAACTTGAATTCTTGATGCTTTGTCCCCGACGGCCGACATGTAAAAGCTTTTAAAAATGGGCAACAATGTATGAAGGTGCTATTTTGGTTTAGGGAGGTACCTACATATTATATATTTGTATTTATATATACACACCATAATTTTGGTGTTTGTTATCTTTTAATATTTAAATTATAGAATGAAATATACATATTATTCTTACTATCAAATTCATTGTTTAAATAATTTAAATATAGTATATATTTTTTTTCTATAACAAATAAATGACAATACTGAAGAAGTTAAATGTTATACTATTTAAATGCAAACTCTTATAAGTCTATTGTCTATAACATAACGACAATATTGAATGTTTAAAAATTATTAATAATTAAAACAATGTGTATAGAAACTTAACCTATATAAATTATAAATATTTAAATGATTATAATAATCTTGAAATAAATAATATAAATAAAAATGTATTTAATATAATAAAAAAAACTTTTATTCTTCTTCGGACTCTTCTTCCTCTTCTGATTCATCTTCCTCAGACGATTCTTGTCCTTCTGCTTGAGCAACATCTAGATGCTCGGTGTCATGTTCGTCTTCGCCAATGTCACCGTTTTCTTCAACTATCTCTTGTATTTCAACCTTTGAACTAATATCTCCATCGTTTTCAGATACAACAGAGGTACTACTTGTTATGGTAGTTGTCTTTTTGATTGTTCGTTGAAATACTGCTGTAGTTTTAACCCCACCTTCATCTTCGTTAATTATTTCCGTGGAGGTGGTCGTAGTTGACGATTTTGCAATCGCAGCAGCATTAGTTTCTTGGGATTCCGAGCTTACATCTCTAGTTTTCTCAGACAATTCTATTTGTTGTTCGGATTGGTCGATTTCTTCTTCTGTTGTAATTTCATTGACTGCTTGTTCAGTTTCTTCGGTTTCTTCAACTTTCTTGTCTAATGCTGATCGAGCTGCTTCTTCAGCTGCTAATCGAGCTGCTTCCTCTTCAGCTGCTAGTCGAGTTGCTTCCTCTTCAGCTGCTAGTCGAGTTGCTTCCTCTTCAGCTGCTAGTCGAGTTGCTTCTTCTTCAGCTGCTAATCGAGCTGCTTCTTCTTCAGCTGCTAATCGAGCTGCTTCTTCTTCAGCTGCTAGCCGAGCTGCTTCTTCTTCAGCTGCTAGCCGAGCTGCTTCTTCTTCAGCTGCTAATCGAGCTGCTTCCTCTTCTGCTGCTAATCGAGCTGCTTCTTCTTCAGCTGCTAATCGAGCTGCTTCTTCTTCAGCTGCTAATCGATCTGCTTCGTTTTTAGCTGCTTTCTCTTCAGCTAGTATCCGAGTGGCTTCCTGTTCAGCTGCTTCTTCTTCAGACGCTAACCGAGCTGCTTCTTTTGCTGCTAATCTAGTAGCTTCTTTTTTAGCAGCTTCCTCTTCAGCATGTAACTGAGCTGCTGCTTTTTCTGCTGCTACTTTTCCTGAAGCTAATCGAGTTGCTTCCTTTTCAGCTGCTAAATTCTTATTAAAATTATTTTTACTATCATCTCTAACTTTTTTTCGGATATTCTGTATTATTTACTTTAACTATTGGATTTATTGAAGATGCAGCCACAGCTTCTCTAGTTTTGTTGTAATAAGACAACATAGTGATATTGTCGTCAACTTCTTTTGACAAATGTGGCCTTCTCCTGGGATATGCCTTGCCACCAGCATATGACACACAAGCCAAATGTCCTTTACCTTTAAAAATATAAATGTTATTACTATTGTTTAGTAAATAAGAATGGTAATTATTATTATTATATTATACCAATGCTGTTGTCGCGGCGATAAGAATCGGAGTCAGAAAGGATCTTTTCAATATAAGCATCAGATTCTATACGTTGTGCTATAGGTAATTCACTATATCCATTAGACACCGAAGATATTTTGGGTCTGATTGTAGGAGTGTATACTTGTTTAAGCAATCCAGCGGTTTGAGCCCGGATATCTCTTGTAACATCATCAAAGTTCTAAAACCATCAAAATAATAGTATTAATAAAAAAATAAATCTTAATATTTATTATTAATCAATTTAGTTGGTTCTCACTGTAGAACTCCTAGAGTTTAGATACTCATCAGTAGCGTCGTACGATGGATGAGAACGTGGACGATGTTCTATCCTATCTAAAACACCATGAATCGTAGCCGCGGATCTTCTGTGTAATGGTACGTAATGATGGTGATTATAAGGATAACCATTGTAAGGTAAAACTTTTGAAGATGGTTTCCCAGTTGATATCGATGGTGTTAAGATAAATGGAGTAGGCGTAGTACTCGTCTGATAGACTTGATGCGCCTGATTAGTGATTAGAATATTAATTAATTAATTATTTAATGTATAGTAATATTGCATGTGAGAAGTTTTAATTTTTTATATAGATACAAGGTGTATTTATTTTGAAAACTTATTGAAATATAACTTAAGTGCTTGGATATTTTTAGATTAGTAATATATTCAATTTACGAATCTAAGTCAAAATAAACTGTACTATAATATAGAAGACAAAATACCTATTTATAGATCTAAAATCCAGGGTTAAAAAAAATAAAAGGATGGTCAAAAAATCCAAATATATAATAACATTTGAAAATAGACTGCTTATGAAAATAATAATTGCATTATTTGAGTATGATTTTCAAATGTCAATAATGTATTATGATTTAAGTTATAAATAACAATACAATAAATCTTAAATAACTTATTTGAGTATGAATTACTTAAAACAAATATTTCATTTAAAACACTGACAATATGTAAAAAAACATTTTTGTTATATTTTAATTTTAAATTGAGTTATGAGTATTTTAAAATTGTAAATTGTTTATACATTTTTTTATACTCATAACTCAATTTCAAATTAAAATATAACAAAAAGCTGATGTATGCCCTAAATAATATTCTTACCTTTAAATTTTATAAGAGGTCAATTCACTCTAAGTTAAAAATTAACGTCGCTAAAGTCTGCCTAGTGTAAATTTGCTGTCGTACCCGACAACATATTATGCGGGTGCGACGTCCTCTTACTTAATATGGTATATAATTACCGAATAAGTAAGATGTAGTAATGACAACTAAGTATTATTTTACTTTTTTAACGCACGAATTACTCAAACAACATACGAAATTACGATCATTATAATCCTAAAATAGTCACCAGGAAAGTAGAGGCTGATGGAAACTGATGGAATACAACATGGTTACAATATAAATACTACTCTTCTACATCGATGATATTAGATAATAGTCATTAATACAAATATCATTATCATTATAAAGCATAAAAACGTTGAGAGAATTGTATGCGATTGAACTGATTTATTATGTAACCTATACCTACTGGCTACTGTCTAGTACGATATATATGTTTAAATAATTAAAATATAGATATAATACATGTAATGCCGATGGCCAAAGATGTTGTTTGTTCCTCGTAGATATATTTTAAATACTTGTATTATTGTATATTTTATTTTATTTTATGAAAAATTACATGCAACATATTAATTCATTTATTTTTGCATATTACAATCATTTATACCGGACAGTCATTAATAAATTAAATACTTATTTTTTTTAATGTAATTTAGGTACACCAACTCGTTATTCAATTTTCATTACTATTTATAAATAATAAAAATTGTTATTATTAATATTAATTTTGCTGAACAGGCTATATTTTTTTGTTTTTAAATTTTAGTTTTTTTTCTATGCGTTGGTTTTTATAATCCTAGATTTGTATACATTGGGTATTTTGACTTTGGATATAATTTGTTGATTGTTCCTATATAATCCAACTAAATACACATGTCCACTAATCCAATTTTTTGAAAATCCATGAAATGTACAGACTTCGATTTCTAATAAATTTCATCCATAGTATTTTAACTGAATGTAAAACCATAATTTGGGTTATTTTTTAATATTACTTAATTATTAATTATTTAGTATTTTATATCCATTAAATAAAATAGTTAAGTAGATAGGTACCTATTATAAGAAAATATTAAAAATATTGTATTACCCTTAAAAATAACATTACCTAATTACTTATAATTATTTATAAGATTAAAATTAAAAGATCATGGTACCTACTTCATGATTATTATTTATTAATTATTAGTATGTGTTCGTCTGGCACGGACTCAAATATGCTGCAGTAATGCAGTCTACGGAATCACACTAAACACAATTTTTTTTATCTACATGCATGTTTTAAAATAACTCTAGAGACTCGTGAGTGGTTTGTCGTGACTTTAATGGTAATCTAAATAAGTAGTTCATGGCATCTAATTATGTTAGTATTAAGTTGTTTCTTATAATTAAAAATATCTTTGTTTTTTTATTTTTTATTGTATACTGTTGATTGATTAACAAAGGAACTTTAATATTGTATAAATAGAATAAACTATACGATTCGTACTATAAAAATAATATAGAACTATGAAATACCTATCCCACTAGTATATTATTTTATGAACGCAAACTTTGAAATAATATTATAATATTAAAAGAAGAGGACAATTTTCAGCTAAAATTAATATAACTCATCTCATAAAATATAAATAACAAAATTCTAATCAATGTACTTTTTAGGATTTAAAAAATTAGGTACCCAAACAATAACATATAACATAATGTATGTCGCCATTGGGTGGCTGTTTTTTCATTTACCTATATATAATATTATAATACTACATGCTTATAATTGTAATTGTTACATTAATAGTTTGTGCACCAATACATATTTCCTGCAATAAATAAAGTTAAAAAAACTTTAAAAAATAAAATTTTTCCTCTCCCTTTTATTGCTTTTCCAGAGATTATGTATGCTAATAAATACCCAATTTAATTATTAAAATGTTATATTTCTATCGTATCGTCAGGTATTTGTTTAATACTAGAAAATAAAAACTACGATTATATTTTGAATTTTCAACTTATGGTTACTTAGATTCCTAGGTACCTAAAGTATCATTAGGCATTTACAAAAGCTACCTTTATCGTTAAATCTTAATTCTTAATTCTTCCGCAAGAATCTAAGACCTAAGTTTAGATTTCCAATGCACGCTTAGAACATAAAATTTCCCTTTACTTCCTTATTGAACCAGATTAACAAACATGGATATTAGGATATTGCATATAAATATATAACGTTTATGAATTAAACTTGTATTTTATATTTATTTGTTTATTGTATAGTGTACACTATTAGACGATAGAAGAACTGTAAAAGACTGAAATATAATTTAGTATGGACTATTGAGTTGTTTAAGTTATAAAACAAAATATATGAGGTTAATTATATATTTATATAAATAATCAGTTGTATCAGTGTTGAAGTACATTTATTAATTGTTGCTTATTTTTTTTTTTAAATTCCAATAGATATTCATGTTTTAAAAATTATTATTGCTTCAATTGCATTATCGGCCTGGCTTCAGTTTTTTTTAGGGTCTCGTAATTTTTTTTTTCTCGGCATGTTCCTGGTCTATAGGGACTTGGAAAAGTATTTATCGAAATATTTAACGTAATTTTTAGGCTCAACTTTCTTTACTGCAAGTAGCAAGGACCAAGGCCGTTACGAGGCCCCTTGAAAAACTGATCCATGGGCTTTAGTCCAAGCTGACATCTAACTTTCAAGCATATTATAAATTTGGGTTTTTTTGATTTAGAAATATTTTTGGTGACTGGACAGTTTGAGTACAAATGCAGTGAAACAGAAATAGACATTCTGTGTAGTACCTATTTATTTATTGAAATCAAAATATAATCGGGAGAAAATAAATAAAAATAATTAAATAGGCACCTGTCGGATATTCTTGATTAAATTGTCAGTTTAGTATTCAATTTATTTATGGCTTTGAAAATATATGATATTTATATTAAATATTTAACAGTAACTTAGGTAGTTATCAATTTATTTTTATTAAAACATCTTCCTACTACTAATTCCTATTCAGTGATGTTATTATATTATATTCTGTGTATGTGTAATGTGTAAAACATTAGACAAATAATAATTACCTTATAGTAAGTAGGTGGCAAATCATAGCCATCGGACGAATACAGTGGCTGTAATCAAGTATAAATAATATTCATTTGTAGGAAAAAAGTTGAAAATAAAATAATATTAAACACACGATGAGATATTTTTTTCAATAAATAATATTTATTTTTAACAATAACAACAACAACGATAACGACAATATCGAAATAAATTATATAATATTATTATATTTTTAAAAATTAATTTAGTAGTAATAGCAGTAGTAGTGGTTGTAACGTGCTTGTTATATGTAGTATGTTTCATGTGTCAATATTAAAATTAACTAACTGTATAAAATAAACTATATTAGATTCTATACACCAGTTATAAGTTATTAATTTAATATATAATAATTTATTATTAAAAATGCGTGCGTGCGTATTGTGTAAATATTGTTATATTATTAAACCGTAGTTTTTTTTGTATAGTATATATATATATATATATATTTTCAATTAGTATTTATACGTGTACATATACATATACATGATTGCATGCAAGTATAACAACACCTAATAACATTATTATATGGGTAACATAATAATATTATGTTTTTCGATTCTTGGCTTCCAGTCAATCAGTTTAGACGCGGTAAGAGTAGTGACGGTAGGTGGGAGTGCCTCCGGGCAAGCGACCACTGGTGGTTGTGGAATAAGACGAATGGTAACCTCCGGGACGACCATCAGACGAGGAACTTGTGCGGGTTACCTTCTCTGTTGAGTAGCTTGAGCCCGGACGTCCTGAGGACTCGACGCGTTGCTCAGTGTGGTATTCATATTGTCTTCTTGTTTCAATCGGCGCAGGTGTGCTGTACGACGAGCTCACAGAGTATCTGCTGGGCGTCTATATACATATAAAACACAACGCGCACGTCACGCATTTCTTAATACTGTCTTTTTAAATAATTGTATCTAATATCTAATATAAAACATCCCGATTCGTAGCCTATTACAAATTGAAAATTGAAAAAAAATCTCCGGTATCTTGGCACCCAGTGTTATGCAAAAGTGTAAACACGACGTAATTATAGGTATGTCTTTAACGAGTGTAACGATCCTGTCACAACACTACCATCTATATACTATTATAATATGATTATGTCTATACCTCTACACCGCCATAATGTTCTGTTTTGTTGAATGTATGTCTGTAATGTGTATGTATGTATGTATAATGTATGCAAATTGTATGTGTATAATATTATTACCAACACCTTTTACCAATATTAAATATTATTACGTAAATGTAATTATTAAAATTATATTATTGTTGCGATAAATGTATACATATAGAAAATGACACGACTGCCGAACGCGTGAAAAAGGTAAATGTTATTGTTATTTGTTTACGAATCGAGGAACGGTATAATAAACATTGTTTGGCAGTTGGTCGTCTCGTCTAACTTCTAATATCGGTATAACGTCGGCGGCATCGAACTGAACAGTATCCGCCGCCGAGTGTGCCCCTCGTGCCCTTCAGTATCCACCCGATAGTGGTTCAGGCGGCCCTTGGAAGGTATCGTTTCGGTTTCGTGCAAGTGTCTGCGAGCCAGCGCGGACTTAATCAACTCTTTTGTTTCCGTTTCTACGTCCGTTTCGTTGCCAGCCCCGAGGAACTCCCGTTGCAATTGGTGTATGTCTCCTCTTCTCCCGAACACTAGATAAGGCAACTGGACCTGACTGGGACGGGGGACATTGGGGACCTTGTGCCACGGGACACGAACCGTGTTTCTGGTAAACGCGGCTGGTTTGGGTTGCCCGTGTTCTTGGTGGCGCTCTGACTATAACACACACACACACCCACACACACACTGATAAGTATATCTATGCCTATATGTATTATTTAATATGCAAAATACGGGAATTTAATCGGTTTCCAATTTTAGGTATCTAAGTTGTGACTAAAATGTGCGTGTGTATATGTTGGTTACACAAACGACCGGTATAATATTTAATTGATGCATCAATTTCTGAATTACAATAATTATAATAAACACTTAATATCCATCGGTCATTGGTACACAATATAAGCTTAATTTAAAAATAATTTGTAATACATTATGTAACTATAACTATATTTTATAAATCTGTATAATTTGTAACACTTAAGAAGCTTACAGCTACTAATATTTTACAACATCAACATTGTTCCTACCTGCTTAAAAAGTATAGGGAATATTATGTAATAATAAAACAAATTATTATTTAAAACAATAACAAATATTTAATATAATATGAGTAAAAAATGACAAATATTAAAATATTAAACGAGGTGACGAACAATCAAAAGAAAAATCAATCTTAAAATGTCTACGTACCTAGTATAGGTATCAAATAACACAATTATATTATACAAATAATCGAGTATATAAATGTACTGATACAATTGTACCTAGTCAATGCAGTCAAAGAATTTCCATTATTTATCGAATTATTAAATGAAAATTGTGTTTAATGTAGAATAAAGGGACAAATGACAATTATTAAGGTCCCACAAAAAATAAAGTTTATTTATATATTATATTTAATTATTCTGTTTACCAATGTATTGAATAATTATTCTTGTGTGTAAGAAAGACAGTTTAAAAGAATTTATAAACTTAAATTTAGATTTGTGCGTTAGCGTTATTAATAAATACGGAGCCCCAGAAATGGTCAAGTCGCCAAATATTAGTACGCATAAATTATACACTCGAGAACATTCTTTAAAAAATTAAAATATAAACATAATGTACAAAAATAAGTGTTAAATTATAAATGATTGAAAAAATAAACCCATGATTCATGGAAATATTTTGATGGTGCTTGGTGTTGGTAATAATTAATAAGTAATAACTAATAAGTAATAACTAATAACTAATAAGTAATACAATTTATTGAGGTACAAAATAATCTATTTTATAACGTCTAACTAATTATTTAATATAACTTATAATGCAATATGGTCGTCATCGTTGTCGAACATACACAAACACACTTAGTATATAACTATTAGTATTTTCTTTCGATGTCGTTAGCCACACTTCCACCACAGCCAATGGTGTAATATTATATGAATGGCATATTATACATTTCCCAGTAGTTTTTATTTTAAAATACAAATATAATATATGTACAGTTTTTTTTCAATGCGGCTATTTAATATTTTACCCCCCTCGCAAAGAATTCATAGTTTGTTATTAAGCCATTGCATGACTGCACAGATTTTAGTTAACAACATACATTGTCTGTGATGGAGGTTTTCTTTATGAACTGGGGATGTATGTCTGTATTTGTCAATGAAAATTTCAAGCAGTGCCGTCGTAAGGTATAGACAGACCTCCGTGCCAAAATATGCCAAATATGTTAGGATTGCATTCCGGTACTTTTCAGTTTTCACACCGAGTTAATTTAATCGATAAAAGTATAAAACTATTTGTTGTTAAATAATCAAAAATATGCCATAAAAGTTAATATACGGGGTCATAATTCCCATTAATAATTATGGGTGCCTGGGTGGTAAAGACATTGACTTCAGACATATAACCCTTAAGACGGTACAGCAAGTGACTTAATTACTCAGAGGGTAATTTTTGATAACGTTAATTTATCCTTTACTGACATCATAAAATCGCTAATAGTTACGACACAACTTAACTATTTTTTTAATTAATAGAAATAATTACAAATCAAAAAACACTTACGGTGACTGAATAAGAACTGGCCGGTTTGTAGTACGCCGGTCTGCGGGAAGTGTAAAAGTCTGAAGAGTAAACCATATTTATTTTATTAAAGTGTAGACTGGTGGAGATAAACTTCTAAGATGGCCCTGCGTTTAGTGGATCGTGCGAACGGTTCAGCTATTTGTAAATGTCTGAATCCAAAGTATTGTAGTCACTAAAATTCTTTAAATAAAAGAGCATTATATATAAGCATACATATGGATAAAGAGGGGATACGATCATCGAGTGGTGTGCACTCGGCGTCCACCGGCGCTGACTAATCGGCCGAAGCGTGACGCCTGTAACAGGATTTATTATTAGAACAGAATATGTAACAGCCGCCGTTGTTTTCTAATGCGAATAAGAATAATAATATCAAGGACCGAGGAAATAAGCGAGAGTGCATTGTACATATATATATATAGCAATTGGCATTTGGCAATGGCAATGATGGATCAATAATAATATCAACATAAACTTATTTATACGTATAATGATACATTGTTCAATCACGGGTGTCCTTTGGTTGAGGGGGGGCGCTTTTTGTTTCATAAATACATAATATTTATTATTTTGTATAAGCTTTCTAATATTTCCATCACGTTTTATATCCCATTCATACTTAGAAGTAACTCATGCAGGGGCGGATTGGCGAATTTTTTCGGCCCGGGAAATATGGATCAAACCGGCCCTGCACCGCAAATGTAACCCCCCACCAAAAAAAAAATGTTCATCATTTACTTACATTTCAAAATTTGTTTAGTTTCACCCATAAATTAGTAAAATATATAATAGGTACCTATAATTAAAGTTATAACAGTTTAGGGTTAGTCAGATAAGGTTAACCTGTTCAGACTGTTCTAACTCGAACTTGAAGTTTGATCTTATTACATTTTAGATTCTGAGCGAAGTGATGAATGTATTGATTTTCCAATGATGTGTTTTTTTTAATTTTTTTAATTTTAATTTAATTTTTTATTTTTGCGTCTGTCATCAAATTTTAGGACTGTAAAAATAGTAAATACTTTGATTTTCTTCAACTAGATTTACTTTTCTGATAGGAAAGTTAATCTAGTTGGTACTTTGGGGGGTCAGAAATAAAAATGTCCTGGTGGTTTTCAAAAGTGCCGTGAAAAACAAAAGAAAAATTAAGTAAATCGGAGAATTTTTACGCAAAATCTGTTTTCGAGAAAATCGATTTTGGTTTTTGAAGCAACTCCAAAATAAATATGACTATATAGGTACACACAATTTTATTTGTTGGTTAAAAAGCTTGAAAATGTAATAAAAAGCTCCTAGATATTGTTTCAAAGGCAGATGAAAAAAATTAAAAATCCAGTCACAATTTTTTATATAAGCATTTAAAGTTCAAATATTGACAAAATACGTGAAAATGACGAAAGTTTGCAAATTATTTTGAGTTATAAATTCGTAAACAAATTTTAAAACACATTTTTAATACAAAATTCCTCATAAATTTGTCTACCTTTATCAAAAAAAAATATCAACAAGAAAGTCAAATTACATTTTTATGATATTCTGAAATTCAAATTTTTACAACATTTGATATTCACTCGATTTCTCATGTAATGATTTTCTTATTTTGTTGTGATTAAAAAATGAATGACTGTAAAATGTAGATGCTTGAAAATTTCACTGAATATTTATATTAGCATTTTGTATACACCATACAATTTTGAAAATAATTATCTCTTTTTTTAGTTTTTTTTTTCTATAAATACCAATAAAATTGTATTTGTTGTGCCAAAAAGCCTGAAAATTGAATACAAGGCTCCTGATATATTGTTACAATATCAGTTGAAAAATATTAAATATACATAGCCATACATTTTTTTTATAAGCAATTAAAGCTCGAATTTTGACAAGATTTATCAAAATTTAATAATTATTTTGTTGTTAAAAATTTATAAAATGTTCAACATGTATAGCTATAAGGATTGAAAATTTAAAACAATTTTCCAGGTAAATAGGTTTCATTAACAGTTTTTTCTTTTTTTCTCGTACCTTTTCAGCTCCACCCTTCTTTCGTTTTTCACCAGCATCACACATAATTTAAATTGCACAGTTCAATTGAATTTGTACACTAAACACACTTCTGTAAGTACAGTAACTCGTTTGTGTAAAAAGTTCAAAATCAAAAAAATATACAAATAATGATAAGATAAGGTTATCAATGTTATCACGTAACTAAATTCTACCATAGAGTATAAAATATAAATACTAAAATACCAATACCACAGATTTCTAAATAATACATTAGCATGAATTGGAGGGATAATGGTGTAAATACCAAAATTCCTACTATGAATTGCAATAGTTTAAGATATTCAAAATAATACCTTCGTAGGTATTTGATTTTTAATATATTTTATGCTTAATTTATAAAAATTTAATTTTTTTTGTAATTATATTGTAATAATTATAGCGGCCCTGCAGGCCCTCACAAGGAACCGGCCCATCGGGAAGATTCCCGATTTCCCGATAGGCCAATCCGCCCCTGAACTCATGTACCTTGTATAGTTGGTTAAATTTATTTTTTATAGTATTCATATTGATATATATACCATTAATTTTATAAAATATTATATTATACACAGTATGTTTTAATTTTAATTAACTTTAAAAGTTAAAAAGCTTTACACACCTGCAGGATTGCCCATCGGTTTGCGATATTGACGACAGCACTACCGTCTATCAAACACCCACCAAAATTGAGAAATAAATATATTTTTTTATCATTATTATTTATTTGTATGCACTTTAAATATTTTTAAACTTAGGTATCAACCAAAGAATATCAAAAAAAGCGTACGCCGTACAGAGCAAAAAAAAAGTTTGTTAGCTTTCAAGTGCGTTAAATGTATTGAATTCTAAGAAAAATGGTTTGGTGCCATGTTTTTATTTACATTACTTGAATATATGGCATTAAACCATTTTTCTTAGAATTCAATACATTTAACGCAATTGAAAGCTAAAATCCTATAATGGATAAAAAAAACTAAACGCTATATCTTTATTTTATCATATTTTATGAATTCAATTTTTTCAACACGCATTTTGTGTGTTTTTACAATACAGTTTAAATAATGATACATATTACAATACGTCATAAGTATTAAGTATTGATGTATGAACAAATTAACTGTATCTTAAATATCTGCACATGTTGTTTGAAGTACAACATCTGTATAACATAAAGCTTGTTGATTATTATCGTCATTCATCTTTTGCACAAAAAACACATGAAATAAAAATCTAATTTTAGGGCACATTATTGTGTGAATTGAACAACATTTTCAAGTATAAATGTATAATATATGTTCTGGTGCAGTTCCAGTACAATGACGTCACACATACACGGAGCTAAAATAATATTTTTCCATCGCATTTTCACCAAATTGTCTTTAGTCCCCCCCCCCCATACATAATTTCTGGCTAGGCCACTGGACTAACCTCCAAATGTATGATTGTAATTTATAAATAAATCTGTTCAGTACAGCAAGGTTTTGCATACTGTTGTTTTAAGTGGTTAAGTGTAAGAACTAGGTCATCTCAATAATATTTATGTTGTTTGCATCGTATTGCGTGAATAAACAAAAATTATCTAAATATATAATTGCCCAAAATATGTTTATATCCAAGAGACGAATATGTATGTCAAGTGTTAGTATAAATATCAATGGCAATTGTTGCAAACATTCGCGAAACCATAAAAAAGTCAACCTTGGGCGACATAAATAAAAGTTATTTTTATACCTATTTTTCGAAATTCTTAAAATTCGGAATCGTTAGTCATTTATTATTAATAAAAATATACTTATTTATAATTCATTAATTTATTTAATTTTTCAAATTTAATAAATATTATTGAATACAACATATTGTTAAGTGCAAATGGAAATGGAATATAAAATATTGGCAGTAATAATCGTATGTGAGCACAGCATGCATATGTCACAATAAAGTGCACTCAATAACATAATCTATAATTTTTTTTAATAATTTTTAATAATTTTAATTACTATGTGGTACCTAATACCGTATAGACTTATAAACGTATAACTGTATAAGAAGTATTCATTTTAGATTCTGAGCGGAGCTATTTACAATTAATGTATTATTTTTCTTTTTTGAGTCCATTATCACCTTTGGAGACAGGAAAAATGCTTCGATTTTATATTTCAACATTTTTTCTGGTAGGAAAGTGAATATAGTTGGTACTTTGGGGGTCCCAGTAGTTTTCATAAGCGTAGGGAAAAACAAAAAGCAAACATTTTTACGCAAAATCAGTTTTTGACATGATCGTTTTGTTTTTTAGTTGTAACTCAAAAACGAATAACCAAATATATTTATTTGCCCATTTTCCATACATAATAAAAATTTTCAAAACATTTTGAATTTTTTTGAGATATTTATAGGTATAAGAAATTTTTATTTTTTTTCAAATACTGCTTATATAATATAATTATCACTCGGTCAAAAAATTTGACAATTTAATACATAATTTCTCATAAGTTGTTAACAATGTAATTACAAAAATAAGTTTAGCGTAAATTCACAATATTTTTATATGAGCGTTTGAAATTACACATCGAATTTTCTCCCGTAAATTAACAATTTCTCATTAAATGATTTTCTTATTTGGCTGTAATTCAAAAACGACCATCCGTGATACTAGACATTTTCACTAAATATTTTTATTTTATAATTTGTATTAAATTTAACACAATCATTACAATTTACAGTGACCAACATCCACATGACACCTAATGAGGCATCAGAGACAGAGCGGTACCCATTTTCCTTTCTTTTTTTTACCTAACCTAATCTAACCTATATCTTTTAATTTATTATTATCAGAAAAAAATAGTAAATAGTAAATTATAAATAATAATATAATAGTTGTTCATTTTATCATTTTTTAGCCTTTTACTAGCTAATATTATGTACTAAATACTTACTTAGAAGTGAACCGTATCTGAGTCCTAAGATGCTTTTACGATTTACCTATTATATATTATTATAATATTATGTAT